AAGTTGTGATTGAAGGCATGCAACGAAGCGGAGAGTCGAGAAACTATCACGAAGGCAGTGCGTCAACGGGCACGAGTTACTAGAACTCGGACTTTTATGATGGGTAGACGTGGGATCTCTGATATATAACCGTCTGCGGCGCCTTGCGTTACCAACGTTTGGTGACGTGAACATTCAGAGGTGGAACAAGGAAATCTTTTGGTCGGGGCCATTTGAGGATGGAGACGTAAGCTAATTCCCTGGAGGACTTCGATGACATCACGGATAGTAGGAGTGGATCAGGAACAAGCGAAACTGGTTATCGTGCGGAGTGGTCTCAAAGGTAGAATGAAGGCGATTCTGGAGGAGGTGCAAAGCGGCCCAGTCAAGTTGGCATGAAGCGCCGCGAAGGAGGTGCTGATTTTGGGGTTCAACAAACTGGCCGACTGTCAGGATACCATGGGGTGATTCGAAGCGGCCAGGCTTGGAATAAAGGCGGACCAATTACTGTTTGCTGTCCAACTGCTTGGACGAGGAGCCAATACAGCAACTGCTATTGGAGCAGTTCGTGCACAATCCATCTCCGATTATGGCTGATCGGCTCTGGATTGTGAACGATGCCCAGAGAACGGACGTCATGGAGCACACCCGAGTTGCATGAGAGTTTGCACATAAGGAAGTTGCTGCAATAAAGGCGGAAGACCAAAAAGAGGAAGAGAGATGAGACACGCTAGAGAAGAGGCCGGAACAAATTACACAAGAAATCGGGGCACTTCGAATTCACTATCAGAAAACACGTCTGAAGGGAAACCGCTTGCTTTGCGGGAACAAAGGACACTGGAGGTGGTAATGTCATTCAAGGCGCGCTACACTCTTAGTACCAAATAAAAGTTATAAACCGTGGTGTTCTCGAGTTGGAAAGTGCACACCTTGGGAGCTGAACAAAGGTGCGATTGAAGCAATGGCAGTGGTGAACTGAAAACAGAAAGGTGTTTGATTGAAACAGCATCAGCGGCTTTCTTAATCAATCGTAGAGATGGAGGGAAAACTTAGTCTTTGTCCATGGTCATGAAGACAGTCGGTGGTTACGATATACGCATAGATAGTATGGTGGAGCATGCGCCTGGTATCCGCAGTCGGAAGTCCAGTCATCTCTTCGTTGTGATACCGGAACCAAAACAGACCATCGTGGGTGCAGACTTTCTCCAAGTCTGCGAGGTCACTGTCGACCTGAAACGAGAAAAGCTGATGACAAAAGATGGGATTATATCCCTTGAGAGTAGAGAAGGATCATCACAAGTGTGCTCATTCGTAGCAGTTTTACACATGACTCTGTCCTTGCAACCACTCTTAGGCAAGTATGACATCCTATGTACGGACGACCATAGCCCTTACAGGTTCTGTGGCTGGTTCGAGCACACAAGTCCACTATCGCATCAGCCGTAACGGCCGCACCAACTCAGAAGGAGATTAATGCACTGAAGGCTGAAGTCAGAAGGCTGGTGCAGGAGATGTTGAATGCAGGTGTAATCGAAGAGACTGACAGCCCCTATAATTCCCCAGTCGCTTTTGTGAAGATGGATAGCGGGAAGCACCGCTTTCCGTGGAATTTCGATCTATGAGCGAAAGCTTGCTGAGCCGTTTCTTCCCAGTGACATCAGTAGCAGACATGTTCGACAGGCTGTAGAAGTCATGGATATTCACGATAATGGACCTGGTTACTGGCAACAGACGAATAAAAAAGGACCGAATGAAGACAGCGTTTACAGTTGACGACAAGCAACAATAACTTAGAAGGATGCCGTTTGGATGCTCTGGTGCCCTTATTCAACTTCCGATGTTTGATGCAGTGCCTGGTGGATGGATTAGAGAATGTGCCTGTGTATGGAGACGAAAACGACGTATATAGAGCCGGAGACAGAACACTACCTTTATCTAGAAGCAAGGTTGCAAAAGATTCAGAAGACGGGATTGCGGAGAAACGAGCCAAAATATCAGAGTGGATTAATGTCCGTGACACTGCTTGGTCACAAAGTGGATGTTAAAGTCTACTCGCGAACGCAGTAATGGCTCGTAGCCGAAGTAAGGAGGACAGAAAGCAAAAGGCTAGCAGTACGCAACGTGTATTCTGGCAAGAACGTGCACAGGGCATCGATCAAGTAAATGACGCCAAGACATACACGCGCACAGTCAATGCTCGGTGTAAATATCGACTGGAGATGGTGGCTCATACGCCACATTTCTTATCCCTGTAGTTGGTACTCCCCCAGACAGCCTAGTAACGATCAACTTAATGACTACTCTAGTAGAGCGGCGCAGTGATTGAGGCTCTGCCTGGCTTGTGTTCTGTGTCGCCTCCTTTACTGCTGGCTCGGTTGAGGAGCTTTGCAATATTTCGTCTGGCCGGTTGACACAGGACGATGGCGGACGTGATCTATATGACGGGTAACCACCCTCCCATCCGGTAGTTCATCCTCCGCCCTCTGGTCATCATTTTCGCGTAACTCTGCAGGTTGCCAAGTCGATTCGTGGGGTAGTTTGACGTAAACTGGCTCGTGTGCACGTAGTTGTCGATCTGATACCTTTCGATTACACCCAATGGCGTAGCAACTATCTTTGTCGCCCCGGGGCGGTGGTAAAATGTTCCCTCTGAATGAGGGCAGAATAAGCGTGTGAAGGCCGCACAATCGGCTCAGGGTAAAGTGCACATTAGGTTTCAAAGTAATGGATGATCGTTTGGAACACCAGGGGTAAGTGGTAAAGGGACTACATTGGGACAAGCAAGAGGATCGCTGGGAAGAACGCTTACACAGGTGTGACACATAGCGCAAAACTGTTATTGGTCATACAGGGTAAAATTAACATGTTCAACTCTGAGCTTATCTGGATATTATGCCCTTGATATATGGTATCGAACAATCGACGGTATTAAAAATGCCGTCCCCTGTTACTTGCCGCCCGGGGCGGACCGCCCCCACCCGCCCCCTATGCCACACCACTGAGCACACCTGTATTTAGATTCCCCTTGCCACACCTAGACGCGTAGTCTCTGCTCGGAAACGAGTAGGTTTCTTCGCGTCCTAAGCCTTCGGCCGAATATCACTTCGCCTATACTCTCTCCTGTCGTTCCACTTGGGGTGACAAACGAATAAAAATTGTCCAGCTTCGTTCGCACCACGCGCGGGTGATTGTTTCTGCAACCCGTTTTTATTGTCTGGACTGCTCTTTCTGCTAGTCCATTTGAGGCTGGAAGGCAAGCGCCGGTCTTCAGATGTCTGATGCCGTTAATTTCTAGGAACTCTTGAAAATGCTGACTAGTGAATACAGAGCCGTTGTCGGTCAGCGTTTATCGAATACCGAAGGTGTCAAAACATGTTCACATGCAGGAAACAGTTGTCTCGGAAGCGGCGTATGTCAGTAGAAATTCTTCAATCGAATTAGGATAGGCATCGACTATAAGAAGAAAAATCGCCTTATCAAGCGGACCAAATTTGTTTGCATATATGCGTTTCGGTATCTTCTCAGGTAATTTCAGTTGACTCAGTAGCACCAATGGAGAATTTTCTTGTGTAGTTTGACATGCCTCATAGTGTCTGATTAATCTTTCTATATCGTTATCAGTGCCGGGCCACCGCACAGAAAACCGCGAGAGCCCTTTCATACCAGTGATACCTGGGTGAA